AAATAAATAAAAATCTAAGGTCTTTATGTTTTCAGCTGGAGTCCCACTAGACAAAAGATCTTGCTTTACAAGCTTTCTGGCACCAGATGAGAGATTAGCTCAGATTACCGTTATAAAACTAATTGCAAAATGACCATAGAAAATTACTGCTGCTCTAAAGCTGTTGTTTTAGCTTACCAAAGCTAACCAAAACATAGATGAGTAGATGACTCGTCTTAGCATTGAAATAAAATTTTTTGCAAAGCAAATGATGATAGCAAAATTGCAATTAACCTTGATATGCAGTTTTTTCCATGAGTTCCACAAACATAAGCTTTAAATGGATATCTTTAAAGTAGTACATTTGTCATTCAATATATTTAATATACAATTGAGTTTGTAAAAATCTTTTCATTAAGGTTCTCATTCGTCTGGTTAAATATCAAGAACCTGTAAAAATTAAAGTTTGAAATAGAAGACAACTTTATGGAAAATATTTTTATAGTTTGAAGTAGTATTCAATTTTCACCTTTAGAAACACTTTAGGATTTCTCAACCAATTATACTTAAATGGTCTAGAGCCTATTCTCCAATCTATATACATTTTAATTCGAATTTTTTAACACAATGCTAGTCATTAACTTTTACATGCCTTTAATTTAAAAAAATGCATGCATTTTTTATACGTGCTGAGGCTCTAGACATAGCAGCGCTTTGGGTATCATAGCAGCGCCCAGGGCATCATAAAAGCTCTCGGTGGCCCTGATAATGCATGTGCAATTTCCCATTTAGAAGTATTGTTTTTGAAAAGAACTATTTTCAAGATAAATAACTTATAACTTTCTTTTAAAAATTTGTATTAAAATACATTACAAACTTTTAAATTTATTTTATTAAAGCGTCAAATAATTTTTTTCACCCACCTTCGGAATGCTTAGCGCTGGGCCTGCATATATATATATATATATATATATATATATATATATATATATATATATATATATATATATATATATATATATATATATATATATTGGCGTCATCGGTTGAATGGCAAAAAAATAGACAATACCGAAAAAAAAAACAGTTAAAAAAATATTAAATTTATATTTGTTATCTTATTTATATTTATTATTATGTTATTATCTTTTTTATTATTATTATTTTTTTTGCTATTGCTTATTTTCTTGTAATTAATAAAAAATTGTAATTTATATATTTTTACCGAAGAATATAAGAATAAAATAGTCGAAATATGTATTGTTGTTTTATTTGTTAAAACAAAAGTGATTTATATAAATAAATATATGTATGTGTGCTTCAGTATATTCATTAACTGACAGATAGCCTGACTCGCAGTGGAGTGCTGCTACATTGACTAAGGGTTTGGGATGGGGCAGCAATCTTTTCTTTCATTATTCTTCTTTTTTTCTTCATTTTCTAAAAATGTGATATGCTATAAAAATAAACTAGTGAGCAAGTGCTTATCTAAACAAGCTACAGAAGATATATATATATATATATATATATATATATATATATATATATATATATATATATATATATATATATATACACACAAAACCTTTAACAGAAACACTGTAAAAGTAAGCTACAGTTGCACTGAAAATATCGAAAAAATTATTAAAAACCATAACAAAAAAATTATTTTCCCTAAAATTGAAAATAAGGACCAAAAATGCAATTGTTGAAATAAAGCGGAATGCCCCATGAATGGAAAGTGTAAATCTACAAACATATATAAATACATCATCGCAGCAAAAAATCATCCCAACAAAGTTTATATTGAATTAATGGAAGGTGAGTGGAAAACCAGATATAACAACCACAAATCATCATTTAATAATATTAAATACAAAAAGTCGACCGCCCTATCAAACTACGTATGGGATTTGAAAAACAATTTTAACGAAACCCCTATATTCACATGGTCTATTCTAAAAACTGTATCCCCCTACTCAAATATTTCCAAAAGGTGCCCACTATGTCTATATGAAAAATTTACAATTATTTCCTATCCTAAACCTGATGAACTTCTAAATAAACGATCCAAAATTATATCAAAAGCTCGCTACAGTTAATTACAACCTAATTAACAACTAATATAAACACTAATCTTTAGGCTAACTAATAAATTATTCACATTGCTCTTGTAATATATTTCCTAATATAATTTATATTATTTTATTCACTTTTTAAATTTTTTTTAGTTATTTTTTTAGTTATTTCATTTTTTTTTTAAATATTTTTTATTTTATTTATCAATTTTTAATAAAAATAATACACATTATTATTAAATCCTATAATTTTTTTTAAACAAATAATAAAACATACAATAATTTCAAATCTATTAACTAACTAAAAAAATTGATAATAACATTAACCTTAACTACAAAATAACTTCCATCCCATAACGATCTAAAACACAAATGTAAACCGTAAATTTCTCTAAAAATATCGTAGTAAAATTAATTTTTTACTACTTGCCTGAAGATAGCGG